TTGCTCAGTTTGGGAGGATGGGCTGCTCTAGGAAGAGTCTGGATAGTTCCATATTCTTTCCATTTTCTAATGATGGACCTGACTGTGCTCCTGGGAACTTCCAACACCCCAGATATGTCTTTACACCTCTGCCACCTCACAATTCTATCACAGAGCTACATGGATAACTTCTCTGTCTTCATAGTAGGCTTTTTGCTCTGGTATGTCCTGTGAACTCAGGGATCAAGGCTAGACAGACACATTCTTGTGAAATCATGTCAAGCAATTGAACTGACCACAGGTGGACTCCAATCACATTTTGGAGTGATCTCACAAAGAAATTCAATGAGCACCCGGGTTCCATCTGGACTATCATAGCAAAGGGGCTGAATAAAGGCATTTCAGATTCTTTTTTAAATTACATGTAAATGACTTGCAGGACTTTCTTTCTTCTTTGACATTATAGACTAATACTTCTACTGACGTTTGCAACATACAGTAGATTGTGAAAACTCTCAAGTGGGAGTGAATGTTTTATGAAGGCTCTGTTAATATATATATAGCCAAAGTATGCTGTACTGTATTTATGCATGGTCACGCTTTGTGTTCACAATTTAAAAATGCAAAACCCTGCCACAAACACATATGGTCAACATTTATTATTCAGCATATATGAAGAATTAAGAATAGAAAATGTCACTCTAAGTGCATCACAGTGGAACTTTATTTCGGTAGAAGTGCTGTATTGGTTCTGAATCATTCTCCCTATTCTCAAAATAGATCACCAAGTAGCAGACAACATCTTTAACATTTCACAATAAAGGAAATCCGAATTTCTTCAAATTAATAGGTCCCCAAGGTCTCTAAAATAAGGTCTGCAATCTGATCTTGGAGGGTTCTCTCACATAGCACAAGGTTTGGGGAAGAGGAGTTTGAAGCCATTGTTTTTCTCCTGTCTCTGACTTCTCCCATCCCTGCTTTCCCTCTTTTCTCCCGTGTTCCCTGTATTTATGCTATGTTTTGTTTTAATGAAGGCTCTAATTATTTACCATAAACTTAGTTAACCAGAGTAAATCACCAGAAAATCCCCTTTTGATCATTTATGTTCACCTGCTCTCGGCTCTCTTGCAGCTAGGCAAAACCTCAAATTATATCAACCATTCTCACACGTTTTGAATGAGGTCTTCTGTAGTGCAATACGATGTGAACTGCACATGTGATAGATTTTCTAACCCACTCATGGGTACATAGGATGCAACAATATATAATCTGAATATATTAAATCTAACTGGAGTTAGTGGACGAATTCCTCATGTAGATGAACACCACCTACTCCTAGAAACAGAAATATTTGTCTGATTCAATAAACGTTTTGGAGGGCTTTAAAAAAAGCTTTACCTCAGCACTAAGCACAATAACCAAAAGAGAAATATACTAATCAATTTAAAAGATGTCAGATATAGCCCTCGACTATTATTTACCAGTAATTTTTTTTTTCACCATCTGGGAAGTCATCCATCTGCAGTCGACTGAGTTCTAATAGCAGCTAGAACTACTATTACTGAGGGTGTTGTTGACTGATTACCTGCCAGGAGGTCACTTAGCCCACTGAGGCAAATACCAAGATTAAAAACGGTCTGAAGACATTTGCCTTTTATGCGATAAAACCTCTGAGGTTGGACTTTCAAGAACAGAAGCTAGAAAGTGAATAAAAACAGTTCCCTTCCCTTGATAAAAGCATTTCACATTTTATTTTCCATTCAGTTCATTCAGAGGTTGTTTAAATTGACAGTACTTTAGCGTTTTGGGGGAATTTTCCAGGCAAAAAAAAACATTCAGACAAATAAATGTTTAAGTACATACTTTCAAGAACTGTCATGAACTGCATTTAATAATTGCCTTCTTGAATTGTTTCATATTTTTCCCTCCCTTACACTAAATAGCATCCCCCTTAAATTAATAATAATAGTAACAATAATAATAAACTATATTTTATATAGTGCCTTTAAAGGTGGCTTCTCAAAGCGCTTTACAGGATGACAATAACAATAAATAAGAAGAATACACAAGATAAGACACAATTACAATTACAATTACAACAATACAACAATAACAATAGAGGAGACCGTGGATGGTGGTACTAAGAAGAGCAGAGGGGTGCAGAATGGAACCAGTTAAGTAAAGGCTTTTCTGAAGAAGAGGGTTTTGAGTCTGGATTTGAAGGAGTTTAGAGAAGGTGACTCTCTGATATCCTTGGGCAAAGAGTTCCAGAGCTTGGGGGCATAACAGGAGAAGGCCCTGTCACCCATACAATGTAGGCGGGCTTGGGGGACAGTAAGGAGGGCAGAATTTGAAGAGTGGAGGTTGCGAGATGGGAAGTAGGGTGATAATAGTTCAGACAGGTATTGAAGTGCCAAGCCATGCAGAGCCTTATAGGTAAGCATGAGGATTTTAAAGTCTATGCAGAATTTGACCGGAGCCAGTGAAAGGACTCCAGGATAGGAGTAATGTGAACACTTGCACTAGACCTGGTCAGGATTCTGGCTGCTGAATTTTGGACATACTGCAGTTACTTTGTCCAAGGTTTTGAAATGTTTGTAGCCCTGACAGATGCTACAGATGCTATAGATGGTACCTATACAATACCCTTTTAGCTCATTATTGGAGGAAAAAGATATTAAAAAGTGAAATGGTAAGGATGAGCAATCTCAGCAGTCAGAATATCAGCTCATATCTACAGTACAGTACATGTTGTCTTCTCGATTTAAGACTAAACATCACTTCTTTTAAAAATTACAGCATGGTGACTTTTTGCCCTAGTGACTTCCCCTTGCATTAATTCCAGAGCAGCAATGTTGTTTTTGCCATGAGGTCACTAAAATTGCTAATGGAAACACTATTTCCAATGAGACCTTACTGTTGCAAGCATGTGATACATACAGTACTGTACTTTGCCTTGGATGCCCACGGCCTTCAGTCTGAGAATGAATCTTTTACGAAACACAGTATGATACCTTTATGAAAATCTAAACTAATTACTAAATGGAGTTTATATAACTGTCACGCCATCTGTAGCCAAAGGGTGCTCCTTCTCTGTCCTGTCCCTAGTTTCCTGTTCTTGCTCTCCTTCCGGTGTCTCTCTTTCTGGGGCTAAATATTTCCGGGTCACTTATTCTGCTTCGCTCAGCATTGACGTTCGGATGTCCTGAGTCCCGCCTTGCACCGTCCGTGGCCTGAGGGCATAGGTTTCTATATGGCACTCCAGAACTCTTTGCACTGCTGAGCCCGGGCTAACTCCCCGTTCCGCCGCTTCGCATAGGGTCTTTTTCACTCTCCTGCCTCTCCATGGTTTGTCCCTTCCGACATCCATGACAATAACGAAAGTTAGGGAGGGATCACAACAACCACGCTCAGTCGTTCCCAGCCGTCAGTAATTAGCAATCACTCCCTTCATCCTTCCTCGACCGAAAACTATAAATACCAACGCGATATCTCTCTCCCTCGCGTGTGACTTTTGCATCCCACCTCCACCCCAACTCCACCTCTACAGCGACCCCTTGGTCACCCTGCGTGGGGGTCCTCGCCTCCTCGTCCTATGGCCAGGAGGTCGGCCCTCAGCCAAGCGGGTTAAGCCAAATATCCGCTCCATAATAGTGTCATCACGCTTTGATCTTGGGCGTTGTCATAGTGAAATGGGCTAGACTAACTGAATGGCCTTCTCTTGTTTGCAATTCATCTACCGTTCACATATAAGCATCCATTATTGCTAATAATGTTCTAAACCCATGTTCCTTTTCCTTTGAATATTACAGTTTACTGCATAGCTTTAGTTTGTTTTTCTTTTTATGGGTACTGTTCTTCCCTTTTATGTCATTTTAAATCTACACTTTAGATGAGAAAAGCTGAGGACGAAAGACGACGTCAGCCATGTTAACAATTTCATTTTCAGCTTCTGACACCTGTGAGGGGTTTATCCCAATCCATGTGAGGAAAATCCTGTCGGGAGGCACAGCGGTACAATGGACAGCATTGTTGCCTTGCAGCACTGGGTTTGTGTGTTTTTCTCTGAGTTTGTGAGGGTTTCTTTTGGGTGCCAGGTAATTCTAGGGAAACTGACCCTGGTGTGAGTGTGTGTGTTGTGTGTGTGTGTGCTCTGCAATGGACTAGCGTCCCATCAAGGGTGTATCCTGCCCTTCACCCATTGCTTGCTGGGATAGGCTCTGGCTCCCCTACGGCCCTGTACTGGATAAAGTGTTTAGAAAATGGATTGATGCAATGGATTGATCCTTTTTTTTACACACCTAATTTCAATACAAGAGACTGCATTGTAATCGATATCTGAATCTGGGGGACTGCATCGTATACTGAACACTCGAAACTGATTGTTTCTTTTTTTAATAACCCATATACAGTAGGTTCTGGACAGATACAGCAGGTCTTGAGGATCAACAGAAGTTACTGTACAGGGATGAATCTTAAGATCTAAAAGTGGAATCTGACTAATGTTGTTTCGAATGAAAAATGTGGGGGACCTCATAACAATGTTTAAAAAAAGTTGAAAAACGAACCGTTTAAAAGTATACTTTTCTTCTTCTCAGCTGGAGGATATCAGCCATCGACTCCTCCTCCAAACAATCTTTTCCACTCATAATCAATGCCTTACAATAAAGGGGCTTAGATTATCGACGCTGAAAAAAAAGAAAATCTTTGCTATACAAACTGTCATTCACAAATCAATTTTTTCTTTTCTGACCGCTCTTTATTTATTTTTGGCAGCGGCCTTAAGAAGGTTGTCTTGCGGATTGTAACACAAATGCATCTTAACATGGATGACTATAATGGCACAAATGGATGCATGAGGGATTGATATTAATAATATTAACACGGAGGGCAGTTAAACAAAACTGTTCCAAAGAACACCTCTCAAACTACCAGAGCTTTCAATAGAAGTTCCGCCCACACTGATTTTGACCAATGTGAGTCCAATAAAAGCGGAAGCTGGTGGTGTAAACAGAAAAAAAGAGAAAACATGGCGGCGCCCAGTGCAATCATGTTGGATTTGGATGTGAGCTTGAGTAAATTGATTGAAGAGTGTTCTAGCCGTGGTCATTTGGAAATATTGCAAAATCTCACGAAGGCTTTCCGAGAGCAGGAATTCAGGTGCGAAAAGTTCAGTGATAAACCACCAAAACCGTTTGCGTTTCTGATTCTCTAATATTGATGTTCGTGGAACGGCGTTCGCGATACATCAAGGAGACATACCGGATTTAGTGTTGGGAAAATATGAAAACAATTAAGAGAAGAGAGGCCGTCAAGGTGCAAAATGTACCTCTGTGTTTCAGTGTAGGCGATATATTATTATATTACTCTAAAAGTCGGCCACTGTTTTCATTTGCTTTTATAACGTGGCTATAAAGTAAATCAGTACAGTAGTATTGTCTTGGCCATGTACATCACGAAGGCAGATATTTAAATACAGTTTTCTTGTAAGTTTTTGATATAACCTACAGTACACTTAGAAAACAATCGTGTTGCCACTTATAAACAATGTCTTTTTCTGGTGATGTTTTTTAGAGGTTATGTAAATTGTCCTAAAGAGAGCGTTTAGAGGTAATATTGTCCCTTATATTTTGACTTTGACGGTGAAAACGGTAGTCCAGGGGTTGTTTTTGGTCAAAACTGACAGGATACTATATGTGTGTAATAAAAACCCGTATATCACCATTGTGTCTAATATAAAAAAGGTTATTAGTCCACAAAACAGGCAATGCATAAGAAATTGAGGTCTGTGAAGGTGACACTTATGCAGTGCTTTATGTAATATGGTAGAAGTCAGCATGCAAGAGCTGAATGTATAAAAAGCATTTAGGGAAAAAAAATAGATCAAGGTTAACTGCAGGACAGTGAATGCACACCTGGGTATTTCATATGTGAAATCTAAACAAATCTCAAGGGAAACAAACTTGAATCCTTTTTTGCGGCATGTCCCCTGTAAATACAATTTTTCAATTTCTCTTGCAGAGCCGGTGTGGAGAAGAGTGTGTTTCAGAGTCTGCAGCAGATCTTGTCGAAGTTGTCTAAAGAGATCCATGCTTTCCATGACAAGAAGAAAACGGAGGCTCTCTCCTTGTGCTTACAGATGACTGCAGAGTGCTTTAGGATTCAAAGGAATTCCTGTGTGCAATGTGCAAGGAATCAGTGTCTTATGAGGTACATTAATATTCACTTTACTAACCTGAAAAAGGTCTCTTTGTGCTATTATGACCCCCTTAGTATGTATCTGTAAGCTGAGCTGAATATATGGCTTTGAGCATCTTTTTTCCGTGTAACTAGATAGATAGATAAGACTTTATTAATCCCGTAGGGAAATGAATGCGTTACAGCAGTCCAGCCCAAGACAAGCAAAAACAGACATCAGAATAGTTATAAAAACAAAAGACAACAAAATAAATATAAAATAAATAAATACATAGGTGTGTGCAAAATGTGACGATCATAGTCGTTGTAGAAACAATAAAATATGTGCAAAATGTGCATAGGTTTATACAGACTGATTGTCCAAAAAGTACAATGGAGCAAACATGCTGTCCATAGAGGAGCAAATGAAGGGCTAACAGTCCTAGCCTAGTAGTTCAGATGGGTAGCTGCGTCAGCATGCGTAGGCTGCAAAGGAACAAGTAATAGGTTTATTCCATGCTGAAAAAAAGAAGAAAGAGAACACAAAGTTTCGGCCGTGGAGCCTTCTTCAGATGGCACCACTCCACAAAGTTGGTAGTCAAGCTCCTATATTCCTCCTCCCTCCCCTCTCTAATACACCCCACAATTGCAGAGTCATCCGAAAACTTCTGCAGATGACATGAAAGACCTGCGGAAATGTTCCCTTGAACACCGTAGCTGGAGCAGTCTGTTGCTAAAAGTGCTCCGCTGCCCAGGAACAGTCCCATGAAGCGGATGAGAGGCGTTGTTCATGGTGGCTTGGTGAGCTTGGTCAGCATTCTCCTCTCAGCCACCACCTCCAGGGGGTCAAGGCTCATCCCCAACACAGAGCCAGCCTTTTTGATAAGTTTATTGAGCCTATTTGCATCTTCTGTCATGATGCTGCTGCCCCAGCACACAACAGCGTAGAAGATGGCCGCCACCACCACTGATTCATAAAAAATGTGTAGCAGTGTTCCACACACACCAAAGGACCTGAGCCTCCTAAGAAAATAGAGTCGGCTCTGACCTTTTTTGTACAGGGCGTCAGTGTTACCAGACCACCCCAGTTAATTATCCAGGTGTACCCCTAAGTACTTGTAGGACTGTACCCCCTCTATGTCCTCACCCTGGATGGAAACAGGGTTCAGCGGAGACTTATTCCTTCGGAAGTCCAAGATCATTTCTTTGGTCTTGCTGGTGTTAAGCTGGAGATGGTTAAGATGGCTCCACTCCACAAAGTTGGTAATCAAGCTCCTATATTCCTCCTCCCTCCCCTCTCTAATGCACCCCACAATTGCAGAGTCATCCGAAAACTTCTGCAGATGACATGTCTCAGAGTTGTACCTGAAGTCAGAGGTGTAAAAGGTGAACAGGAATGGAGCAAGGACAGTCCCCTGTGGAGCCCCAGTACTGCTAACAACCTGTTCAGACACAGCTCTGTATAACAATGGCTTCTCAGACTTACTCACCATTTTATACAGCAGTATGTGATTCTGTGACTGTTGATTTATCACTGGCTGATAACAGTGCCTTCCCAATGTGCCTTGGTAATCTAATCTGCCTTGACAATTGTTTTATGTACTTGAAAAACTATTTTCTAGCCCTGACAGGTTTTTGTCATTTCCAGTTCCTCTTCCTACGCTTAATTTTAAAATTAGGCTTATTTATCCCTTTAAAAACTTTGAAAATGTGGTTTTCCTGTAGTCTTTTTAATTTCTGCACTAGATAGATGGGGTTTTGTGTTTTTTTGACATGCAGAATGTAATATTTTTTTAAATACCTTTTAGCACTTCTCTTTCACTTACTGTTCCATGCTATGTATCCAAGTCTCCAGTTTGCCTAGATTCCTAAAGTGTTGAACCCACTGTACACCACAGATGACATAGGAGAAAGCAGTTAGGTCCCGTAGTATTGGTAACATTTTCTTATCTACAGTATATGCAGAGTTCAAAATGGATTTATAAGATTTTATTTACTGTGTACCGATCTAAATCGCAATCTTTTCTAGATCATTTTGGGTTGTGGAAAATGCTCTCTGTGTATTTCTTTTTCTGTTCTTCCCCTATTTGTATTTTTGGTCCTTTCCTTTGCATTCAAAGCTTCTTCAGAATGCTACTATGTCCAAATTCTAACTGGAATTTTTCATGGTGGGGGGCTGGGGAGAAAAGTTTACTATTTGCATCTGTGAATTGTTGCTCATGTGCTTTATGGAACTTGAATATATGGTTTGTCACAAATGACACACATGTCCTATATTGTGGGAAAAGTATAATCAACTCAAATGATTTGCCCTGCAGATATGCTTTTATCCAAAACTGCTTCAATTCACACTCATTTTTACAGCTAGCTGTTTTACTGGAACATTTTGACTCAATGGTACAAATTCGGTGTCTCACCTTTTATTGGAACCTATAGTCTTCCAGTTAATCTGTCCAAATAAGTGCTCCACATAGCGCAGAATTTCTTCTTTTATAGTGCGCTTTCAAAAAATACAAAAACAAATCAGCTTACATTAAATTAATTTGGAAAAGAGCAAATTGATGGTTGGTTTGAGTGCTTTTTTCAGTTATTTCTGATTCCTTGTGCTGTAGTCCACTGAAATGGCTTTGTCGGAATAACTCGGTATCAGCAGTGACATACAAACCATAAATGGGACTTATGTTGAAGTGCATTTTAACCTCCGAACAGGTGTTTTTTTACACAAAGGGTTGTGGGAGTGTGGAGCAAGACGTCCTGCCCTGTAGTCGAAGCTGATGCACACACACACACACCAGGGCCACTTTTCCCAGATGCTAATAAGCCCATAGAGAACATACAGACTCCACACTACTAACAATAGCAATATTAACTGCCGCACCACTGTGCCACCCTCTGTATGCTTGCATATAGGCCGAAGTTAAGTCCTTCACTGACATGCTTTTTTTCCAGGGAGCAGCTTAATGGATTGCCATGGACACTAAAAAGTGCGAAAAATAATTTAATGGAAAAAATGTGAATATAGTCTAAATATATTACTCAATGTTTATGCAATATATGCAAAGATGTATATGCTGCCGAACAGATCTGGTGTGACAGCATGCTCGAAGTGGATGATGCAACAACAAGTAATAAGTTCAATACTTTGAATTGATTGGAATGTGTTCCAAAATGAAACCTCGATTGTTGTGATGTTTTTTTGTCAGTCTGTCCAAGCTCGGAAGTAAGCGTGTTGTCAATTATGGTTGGATTTTTCAACCTTTTTAGGTGAGGGCAGAACAGTGCCAGTGGTTTCCTCCATGCAGCAGGTAAAATCCTCAAAATTGCTGATAAAAGGGGTTATACAACTTCGGTTAGCAAGCTTTTTTTTTTAATCGCGCAGTCTTGTGTTTTTAAATAAAGAGGAGGCCATTTGGCCCATACCCCTTGTTTAATCTTCTTAAAACAGCAAAGCGTTTTGTGTGAACATCTGCATCCCATTCCCAGTCCTATCTCTTTGTGCTTAATTTCCACAGATGGCCTCTTGAGGAGGGGAGAAGTAGCTCTTGGGATGAAATTGCCTCTCGCTTGTTCTGAGTTTTAAAATATTCCTTTCGTTTCTCCCTGAGGTGTTAGTTTCAGGCGGAAACGTTGAGATTCTTCTCAACGGTGCGTTTGTGATGTACCTGCAAGTCCGGCAAATGTTGTGGTTGCTCTCTCTCGTAAGCTTTCTAGAAGAGCAGTGCGCTTTTTGGAGATTAAATTCTTCTTCTCTCAAGGTCGCTCATTGACTGCCTGGCAGAGGTGGGGCCCTTAGTTCAGTACTTGTCAAGGGATGCTGTCTGCATGGAGTTTGTATGTTCTCCCTATGTTCACATAGGTTTCTCCCAGTGATCTGTTTTTCCTCCCACTGTCCAAAGACATTTTGGTAGGTTAACCTTGAACTGGAAGAAACACTTAAAAAATGGATGGATGGATTTCACAATTTGTGCTCGGTATTTACTTCTTCATCGTCTCAATGAGGACACTGAAGTGTCCTAAGTTTTGCTGGCAGTTTCATTCTCTACCAACCACCTGCTTGGAATAATTTCTATCGGCTTACATAGTTTGTCCAAGATTATTACTAATCCTTAGTGCATCCGAATCGTTAACATTGTCTAGACGAAGTATTATTGATCCTAAGAGGCTGGACTGTTGAGGCAGTGGCTCTTAACCTTTGCTGCTGCCTTTACCCCTTTGGTTCTCAAAATCTGTCCTCACAAATCATTTAATTTGGTCAGTTGATTAAACCTGAGATGTATCGCAACATAGAATGAAAGAGAATTGTGAATTTTTAATTTTGCAGTAAAAAAAGTGTGTAATCCTTAATTTACTAAGTTTACCTTCAAATTACCAAGGTTTACTATTTATTGCTGCTTTGTACTGCTTATGATGAAGATTTAAAGCAAAGTGTCCCATTTTCACTGTTGCATCACCAGTAAAGTGTTAAATTCATGACGGGTTCTTTGTAATGTGCAGCTTTGCATCCAGATTGGCTGTGCTCTGTTTAAGCCTTTGTGTAACTTTCCAGGAGCCTTGGAATGAGAAGGGTTGCGTTTCTGAAGTTAATGAATACAGTCTTCTTTCTTTTTGAAGCCGACAAGTGAGTTTGAAAAATATAATATAGGAAACTTGACTTAACCGTTGGCAAAAAATAACCTACATTTGTTTTGTTTGTTTGAGAAAGCCAGGCGGTTTAGCTGCTTTCATAGATCCAGAATGATTGGCAGGTCTGTGCCCCATTATGCATAATAAAAGCACTGTTAATGTTAAACAACAGCTTTAAAGTACAGCTCATCTCAAAATGAGAGATGTAGCACATTTTTCTACTCTAGCAGCTACAAGAAGAATTCAAGTGTATGTGTGAGTTTCCTCCAGGTGCTCCTGTTCCCTCCCACAATCCCTGAATTGGATAAAGTGGCTAGAAAATAAGATAAGATCACTTTATTGGCCATATGCAATTTCTTGTGTTCGGAATTTGTCTTGTCGCATACTCCAACTTGCTCTCCGTGAGACAC